CCGTACTCTGTGCTTTTTGATGTCTCCAAAGGTCTTTTATTGCTGCTGCCTCTGTTATTCCTGGAACATTGCTAAACGCCCTCCCATGTTCCCTTCTGTCACCAACACTTCCTGCTGCCCAGCTGGGCCTCCAGCAAAGGGAGACACCAGCTCATAGAGCTAGATCATGCCCAGTCTTGTATGTGGGCACTGCGGAGGCCCCTCCTTCCCTTAGCAACAGACGCCGAGACTTGGTTACTGTGCCCAGTGCCTGCATACAAGCACTGCCAGTGTTAGAGTCCAGGCAGGAGGAGGGAGAACAGTTCGGGCTGCCAGGATGTTGTTTGGAGGGGTGAGTCTCCCTCTTCTCTGTATTAATATGTAACTCTGCTTCAGTCTTTCCTCTGCAGTGAACTCAATGTGTTTCTGGAAAATTTCCAAGAGAGAAGCACTTGAGGGAAAGGAAGCGTGGCCACCGCTGGGGAAGTAGAAACCAGAGCTAAAAGCGCAGCAGAAACACAGTGCTGTCCCCTTATCTCTAGCTTCCCTTTCTCTCCTCTTCTACCAGGGAACTCCTCAGGGGGCCAAAGTCTATGACCTCAGAGAGGGAGCTTCATGAACAGAGCTTTCAGAACATCTGGAAAGTTCCATTGTTGGTGTCATCCCCATTATGCTATAAGGAAGTGTGAATTTCAGAGCAACTGAATAGGAGAGGCACATCCCTGGAGAAGCTGAGAGCTCTTCGTTCATTTTTAAAAAATAGCTACAATTAGAGTGGACACCATGGGTGACATGGATTGCTCATGTCAGAAGGTAGGTGTGAATTTTAAGACTTTTCTTGTTTTACCCATTTTTTTTTTTTTTTTTTTTTTGAGACAGAGTTTCGCTCTTTGTTGCCCAGGCTGGAGTGCAATGGCGCGATCTCAGCTCACTGCAACCTCCGCCTCCCGAGTTCAAGTGATTCTCCTGCCTCAGCCTCCCGAGTAGCTGGGATTACAGGCATGTGCCACCACACCCGGCTAATTTTGTATTTTTAGTGGAGATGGGGTTTCTCCATGTTGGTCAGGCTGGTCTTAAACTCCCGACCTCAGGTGATCTGCCCGCCTCAGCCTCCCAAAATGCTGGGATTACAGGCATGAGCCACCACACCTGGCCGATCTACCTGTGTTTTTAATGTGTTGGGAATATGTGGGAAGGGGGATATTTTGATCATAGGCCAATTGGCATGTTAGATGCCCTTGACTGAACAAGTGTATTCATCACATTTTTTGTTGTCTGCTTTGAAATATCATTTTTGCTGAATTAGACTTTTGGAAATCTTCAAGTTTTGCTGTGAAAAATTCAGGAATAGACACCCGTTCTTCCTTTTCCTTCCCTTCCAAGCCCATTAGACCATATATTCCACCCATCAGTTTTGGACTGTGGCTGAACATCCGAATATTCCGGGGAGCGTCTTAAAAACAGAGAGTCTTGGTCCCCCACTCTTAGATTCTGATCCAGAAGAATCTGGAGTGGGGCCCTGGAATCTATATTTTTATCTAAGACTGGAGTGATTCTGGTGTAGCAGGTCCTCAGACAAGCATTTGGAAACTGCCTTCATGAAGAACATGCATACAACATGTGTAATCAGCAATAAGCTGCCCAAAGTGACAGTTCTACCCAATCTAGGTTCCTGAGTCTCTGTTGTATCTCTGTGGAATCACCACGTTGCCATACAGTGAAGTGCCCAGAGGAGCATTTTAAATTGAAACTTAATAAAACTAAAGTGGATTTGTAGATAATAACTAAGCCAATATGCTCTGAAGTAAAAGCTCCTTGAAATTTACCAAAGAGAAGATTTAAGCATTAATTTTTCTCTCTCTCTCTCTCTTTTTTTTTTTTTTTTTTGAGATAGTCTCTCTCTGTCACCCAGGCTAGAGTGCAGTGGCACGGTCTTCACTCACTGAAGCCTCTGTTTCCTGGGTTCAAGTGCTTCTCCTGCCTCAGTCTCCTGAGTAGCTAGAACTACAGGTGTGCGCCACCGCCTGGCTAATTTTTGTATTTTGGGTAGAGATGGGGTTTCTCCATGTTGGCCAGGCTGGTCTCCAACTCCTGGCCTCAAGTGATCCACCCGCCTCGGCCTCCCAAAGTGCTGGGATTATAGACATGAGCTACCACACCTAGCCAAGCATTCATATTTTTAACAAACAATTTTGCCTCGACCAGCTAGTTCTTATGAGAATCTCCATCTCCTCTTGAAGGTGCCACAGAGGATTCTGAGCCAGGTATAGCCAAGAAAACTCTTTGCTCTGTTCCGCAATTGATGCCTAGATCTGCTGATGCTGTGTGTGCCCCACGTGCTCTTTATCCACGGATTGGGATGCTTTCTGCTACCAGCATACTTATGACTGTTTGTGTATTTGTTTTAGTCCGAGCCTATGACATAGCTCTCTTTAATTTGTTTCTACAGAGGTTCTCCTTCTTTCCATTGTGTTCTGCAAAATGCTCACGGTTTGCTTTCTTCATTATCCCAAGAACAGCGTATCTGTCCATTTGCATAATGCAGTAAGAAAGCTGAGGCAGGAGAATCGCTCAAACTTAGGGGGTGGAGGTTGCAGTTGCAGTGCGGAGATCGTGTCACTGCACTCCAACCTGGGCGACAGAGCGAAAACTTGGTCTCAAAAAAAAAATAAAAAATAAAAAAATAAAAAAGTCACTGACTTAGAAGGCAAGCCAGCCAATTACATGGCTGGGACGTGTTACCGATCTTCTCTGCCTCATTTTCTTCAGCTAGAATGTGGGTATAAAAAAAAATCTCGTAAGGTTGTACAGTACCTGGCACATAATAGTTTGGAATAATGGTAGATATTATTGCTGCAGTTCTTGTTTTTCTGTTGTTATTTAATGAGGTAGGTGCTCGAGGAGAGATAATGATGGTTAATTTGAGTCATCTGTAAGGGGTTGGGGGCAGAGGGGCAGCTAATAGCTGAGTCATATACCCCTGCCTCATCCCCCCCCATCAGTGATCTTGCATGTCATAATTTGCACAACCAAATAAATCACATTGATACAATGTTGGCTCATCTTACCTAGGAGTTAAGTCTAAAGTCATTGCCTAAGGTGAAAATCACAGAGAGCCAAAATTGCCCTTGAAAATCCTTCAAACCACCTTTAAAGTGCTGAACAGCAGCACCTGTCAATAAGTCCAGGCCAATAGTTTTTCTTCCAGTGTTGGAACAAATTGCAGTTTCCCCATCACTAGCCCCAGGTGAAGTGGTTGATTTGTATATAGGGGCTGAGTCTTCAGACAAAACCACATGTCATCTCATTCAATAATGCAGTCACTTTCATCTCTGCTCAGGAGAGGTGGAGGGGCACTTGGGATCTGAGAGTGACCGTGGGAGCCACAGGTTTACCCTTACCTGAGGTTTGCTCCACAGTATGCACTCACTGGTTGGAATGGAGGACTCAACACCCACACTGTTGAAATAACACTTTTCCTTTTTGCAGGAAGCATAAAGAGTTGCTTATGTGTGTGTTAAATACACAGAAAATTCAGTGCCACTGCCTGCGTGAATTTCTCTTTGGAGTTTTGCACATGTGAAAATGCAAGAGTCCACCTGGTGGGGTGGCTCACGCCTGTAATCCCAGCACTTTGGGAGGTCGAAGCGGGTGGATCACCTGAGGTCAGGAGTTCGAGACCAGCCTGACCAATATGGTGAAATCCCATCTCTACTAAAAATATAAAAATTAGCCAGGCATGGTAGTGGGCACCCATCCAGCTTCTTGGGAGGCTGAGGTGGGAGGATTGCTTGAATCCGGGAAGCAGAGGTTGCAGGGAGCCAAGATTGTACCATTGCACTCTAGCCTGGGTGACAGAGTGTGTCTCAAAAAAAAAAAAGAAAGAAAAAAGAAAAAAATGCGAGTCCATTTCTTTTAAAGTCACCGCCTTTAATCATACCTGAGGGTAGGGTACTGGGGATGTCCTCAGATTTTGGACTCTCCCACAGGGGAAAAATATCCACATTTGCTTATAGAAGGGAATCCGAGGAGGAGACACTGAATGATTAAAAAATGAGGCAGGGGCCAGGCATGGTGGCTCATGCCTGTAATCCCAGCACTTTGGGAGGCCGAGGCGGGCAGATCACTTGAGGCCAGGAGTTCAAGACCCGCCTGGCCAACATGGTGAAACCCCATCTCTACTAAAAATACAAAATTAGCTGGGTGTGGTGGCAGGCACCTGTAATCCCAGCTACTTGGGAGGCTGAGGGAGGAGAATCACTTGACCCCGGGAGGCGGACGTTGCATTGAGACGAGATAGTGCCACTGCTCTCCAGCCTGGGTGACAGAGCAAGACTCCATCTCAAAAAAAAAAAAAAAAAAAAAAAAGAAACAGGAGTGGAAGGGTTGGGGAGATGGTCACAGGATATAAAATTTCAGTTAGATGGAAGGAATAACTTCAAGAGATCTATTGTACAGCATGGTGACTAATTACCAATATATTTTATTCTTGAACAATGCTGTGAGAGTGGATGTATTCTCACTGCAAAGATAATAACCATACAAGGTAATGCATATGCTAATTAGATTTAGTCACTCTTTAATGTATATATACTTCAATACATCTCAGAGTGCAATCTCAGCTCACTGCAACCTCCGCCTCTCAAGTTCAAGCAATTCTCCTGTCTCAGCCTCCCAAGTAGCTGAGACTACAGGCACACGCCACCATGCCTGGCTAATTTTTGTTTTTTAGTAGAGATAGGATTTCACCATATTGGTCAGGCTGGTCTTGAACTCCTGATCTCAGGTCATCCACCCTCCCTGGCCTCCCAAACTGGTGGGATTACCGGTGTGAGCCACCGCACCTGGCCCTTATCTGTCAATTTTTAAATAAATGAAACATACATAATGGATGGGAGTGATAGGGGTGTTTTGCTCTGGACCTAAAACCTTTCCTGGGGACCTCTTTAGTCCTAACCAACTCAGAGGCTTGCAAATCTTCCCTAATTTCTGAAGGGTGGCTTTGTTCCCATGTCCCACAGATCGCCAGAAGTGACTCCATACATCACATGAGCCACTCCCAGGGGCAGCCAGAACTGCCCCCTCTGCCTGCTTCTGCTAATGAGGAACCGTCTGGGCTCTATCAGGTATGCACACCTGGCTGCCAGCTCTTCTGTTGAGGGTGAGAAGGTGAAGTGCTTTCCCCACTTCTCTCGGTATTTGGCAGGTACTCGTTGGGGGTGGGGAGTTAAACAGACCTGACAAGTGGGATTAGTAGCTTTGGTCGCGTTTGCCCCCAGAAGAGGCTGCAGAAGTGTGGGAGAGAGAGCCATGCCATTGTTCAAAGGTGAGTTAGAATCTGGCCATCCACTGATCTGCTGTGTTATTTAAACTCTCTGAACTTCTGCATGTTTCATTGTAAAATGAAGGTAATTGTTCCTACCTTGTAGTCATGTCCATAAGGAATAAAGGCCAGAGATGTCAATTACCTGCCTCAGAGTTACTGGTGAATGCAAACTATTATCCCTGACATCAGAATTCATGCTCAAAATGGTCAGAGAAGTACAGTTGGTGTCTGTTCAGAAAGTCTTTCCACTGAATGTGCAGAAGGCAGAAACATAGCATAAGGCACTTGGAACTCTCATGAGCCTCAATGTGAGCAGAGCCCAGGCTCATGGGGAGATGTTCCTCGTTGCATCTCACTCTGCACTTCTTCCCTCGTAGACGATCATGTCACACAGCTTTTACCCGCCCTTGATGCAACGCACATCATGGACCTTAGCTGCACCCTTCAAAGAGCAGCATCACCACCGTGGACCCAGTGATTCCATCGCCAACAACTACTCCTTGATGGCCCAGGACCTGAAGCTGAAAGACCTGCTGAAGGTGTACCAACCGGCCACCATCAGTGTCCCTAGGGACAGGACCGGTCAGGGGCTGCCATCATCAGGTACTTGTGGCAGTGTCATACCCTTGGGGCTCTGGAGGGAATTATTTATTTATTTATTTATTTATTTTAGATGGAGTCTCACTCTGTCGCCCAGGCTGGAGTGCAGTGGCATGATCTCTGCCTCAGACTCCTGAGTAGGTAGGACTACAGGCTAATTTTTTTTTTTTTTTTTTGTATTTTTAATAGAGACGGGGTTTCACTATGTTGGCCAGGCTGGTCTCAAACTGCTGACCTAAGGTGATCTACCCGCTTCAGCCTCCCAAAGTGCTGGGATTACAGGCATAAGCCACTGCACCCAGCCTGGAGTGAATTTTTTACTCCTGGGTTCTGATCCTGGCTCCCCTTTTGCTGAAGCTAACTTTGGAGAACTTTGTAAAGCCTCACTCTCCTCCTTATCTATAGAGGAAATGAATGCAAATGGCTAACATTTATAGACAGTTTACATATACCAGGCACTGTTCTATGTACTTGTGTTACTGTTTGCTGCATGATAAGTTACTCCAAAACTCTGTGGCTTAAAAGGACCAGTATTTATTATCTTACAATTTCAGTGGGGGCAAGAATGTGGACATGACTGAATTTGTAGTGTTGACTCAGGGCCCCTCACTAGCAATCGAAGCATACACCAAGGCCACCATCATCTAAAGTCAACTAGGGAAGGATCCTCTTCCAAACTCACTCATGTCATCAGGTCCTTGCTGACTGTTAGCCATAGACACCAGTTTCTTGCCACATGGGTCTCTCCCTTAGAACAACTCACAACATGGCTTCTGGCTTCCCTTAGAGCAAGGGAGGGAGAGAGAAAGAGAGACAGCAAGAGAGAACCCATAGGCTTTTTTTGGAACTTAATCTTGGAAGTGACACCCTATCACTTTTGCCACATTCTGTTTGTTAGGAGTCACTAGTTCTAGCCCATACTCAAGGGGAGAGGATTACACTACAAAGGGGTGTTACCAGGAGATGGGGATCGTTGGGGGCTATCTTGGAAGCTGCTTACCACAGCACCTTGTGTGTGTTAATTTAATTCCCACCAAGCATAGGTATATTGACATAAGGGTATCCTTTAGTAATTTTTGTTGGACGTATGTTGGCACTCTTGATCTGCTCTCTGTCTCAAACTCATTTTTATATTTTTCATTTTTCTCTCTGTGCTATGTCTGGGTAAGTTTCTCAATTACATCTTCCAATTTATTAATTTTCTCTTCAACTCTATTCAGTCTTGAGTTTTTCATGTCTAATGAGTGTTTTTTGTTTAAATGACTATCTTTCCATTTCAAATTTTCTAATTACTTATGGTTTTCTACTTCCCTTCTCCAAATTCTGATTCCATTCTTACTGTCATAACCCTTTCAATATCACTTGGATGATTTTTTTTCCAAGTGGTTCTTACCAGTGTTATTTGTGTATTACATGTACACCCACAGTCTCTAGGATGCTGCTTTTGCATGTTCCTGCTTTAAGGACATGTGGCAAATAATTAATACCCAAATGTTCAAGATCATGATACACAGAACCTTAAGTTTGCTGCTCTAATTGCTAATTTCATGGTCATCATCTTAGTTCGTTTTGGGCTGCTATAACAAAGTATTATAAACCTAGTGGCTTATAAACAACAGAAATAAATATGTTATGGTTCTGGAGACTGTAAAGTCCAAGATCAAGGTACCGACAGATTCAGAGTATGGTGAGGGTCCTCTTCCTGATTCATAGACATCTGTCTTCTCTATCTTCTTGCTGTGTGCTCACATGGGAGAAGGAGTGAGGGATCTTTTTGGTGTTTCTTTTATAAAGGCACAATCTCATTCATAAGATGGAACCCTCATGACCTAATCATCTCCCAAGGGTCCCACCTGCCGAGACCAGATCAGTCAGGGAGACCCTAACCCCGCGGCACTAGAGGAATTAAAGACACACACACAGAAATATAGAGGTGTGAAGTGGGAAATCAGGGGTCTCACAGCCTTCAGAGCTGACAGCCCCAGACAGAGATTTACCCACATATTTATTGAGAGCAAACTAGTCATTAGCATTGTTTCTATAGATATTAAATTAACTAAAAGTATCCCTTATGGGAAACGAAGGGATGGGCCGACTTTAAGGAGTAGGTTGGGCTAGTTAACTGCAGCAGGAGCATGTCCTTAAGGCACAGATCGCTCATGCCATTGTTTGTCGCTTAAGAATGCCTTTAAGCAGTTTTCCTCCCTGGGCGGGCCAGGTGTTCCTTGCCTTCATTCCCATAAACCCACAACCTTCCGGTGCTGGCCTTACAGCCATTATGAACATGTTACAGTGCTGCAGAGATTTTGTTTATGGCCAGTCTTGGGGCCAGTTTATGGCCGGATTTTGGGGGGCTTGCTCCCAACACCCACCTCCAAATACTATCATGCTGGGGATTAAATTTCAATATACAAAATTTCACAAGACATTAGCATTCAGTCTGTAGCAGTCTTTAATGATTTTCTTAGTCCAAAATTATTAATATCTGTGAAGAACTAGTACTAATGCCTCCCAGGTTTCATTGTCCCAAAAATTCTCAGGCCAGCTAGAGTCTTTGAATATAAAGTACTAAGATGCTTTCTTCAGAGCAGCACTGGTGTCTGTTATTCATGTCCTTGCTTGAGTTGATTTCTGCTTATTATTCATTAAAATACATTCGTACTTGGAGGATCTTAAAAATTTACTTTGGCATAATATTGTTATTGCTGTATTATTTCCATTTTGTGAATCTATACCTCGATTGTTGAGTTTATTGAGAGGATCGCTTGTGCCCAGGAGTTGGAGACCAACCTGGGCAACATGACAAAACCCTGTCTCTACAAAAGATAGGAAAATTAGCCGGATGTGGTGGCATGCGCCATTACTCCTAGCTACTCAGGAGGCTGAGGTGGGAGGATCACCTGAGTCTGAGTGGTTGAGGTTGCAGTGAGCTGAAATCATGCCACTGCACTCCAGGACAAGCAATAGAGTGAGACCCTGTCTCAAAAGAAAAAAAAAAAAGGATTTTTTGTATTATCGTTACATTTAGACTATTTTGAGAAGTTCAAAGATAGACACTTTAGCAAGTAATATCTAACTAAAGTTTAATAATATAGTTTTTATATCATTTATTGAATTAATTGTAGCTACCTTGTATTTATTGCAAATGATATTGCTTTTTCCACTTGCAATAAATATATACTTATTGTTTCTTATTTCTGATAATCGTAAAATTTCTTTCAAAAATAAATGTACTAAGTTTATTTTATTTATTTATTTATTTATTTATTTATTAAAATATTTTGAGACGGAGTTTCACTGTCATTGCCCAGGCTGGAGTACAATGGTGCTGTCTCGGCTCACTGCAACCTCTGTCCCCTGGGTTCAAGCGATTCTCCTGCCTCAGCCTCCTGAGTAGCTGGGATTACAGGCACGTGCCACCACACCCGGCTAATTTTTGTATTTTTAGTAGAGACGGGGGGGGGGTTTCACATGTTGGTCAGGCTGGTCTCGAACTCCTGACCTCGTGATCTGCCTGCCTTGGCCTCCCAAAGTGCTGGGATTACAGGCATGAGCCACTGTGCCCGGCCTATTTTATTTTTAATTTTATTTATTTTTTTTGAGATGGAGTCTCACTCTGTTACCCAGGCTGGAGTGCAGTGGCACAATCTTGGCTCACAGCAACCTCCACCTCCTGCTTCAAGCAATTCTCCCTGCCTCAGCCTCCAAGTAGCTGGGACTACAGGTGGTCGCCACGATGCCTGGCTATTTATTATATTTTTCAGTAGAGATAGGGTTTCGCCATGTTGGCCAGGCTGGTCTTGAACTCCTGACCTCAGGTGATCCGCCCACCTCAGCCTCCCAAAGTACTGGGATTACAGGCGTGAACCACCACGTCTGTCCAAATGTACTAAGTTTAAATGCCCAAGTCTACTTAAAGATACATATTAAACAGTAATGTAACAGGTGTTTAGAAAATAGAGTATACAATATTGGAGAATACATGAAACGAGCAGTTGTTAATTCTTGCCAAATGTATGGATGAACGGAAGATATGCACATCCCCACTCTACAATTGAGGAAGCTGAGGTCCGGAGTGACAAAGCCAGTTCTTCAGGGTCACACAGGTAATCAGTGATGCACATGGGACCTCAGCCCACATCTCCTGCCTCGTTGCACCATACCATGTCCACTCCCCTTAGTGTGCTCCTGGATTGTTCCAAGAGTCATGCCCCTGTGGACGGAGAACGGCCCAACGCCATTGCCCATCACTGATGTCTGTCTTCTCCATTCTTCCAGCAAATAAAAGCTCATCAGAGCCCATGAGGAAGAAAACGAAGTTTTCCTCCAGAAACAAAGAGAATTCCACTAGGTAAGATGTCACTGTGGGCACCAGAGAAGGCAGGACAGTGGACTGAACGGAAGAAGGATGTGGTCTCACTGAAGCCACACTCTGTTTCTTGGCTTCAAAGCATTCCCAGATAATCACATTTTGTCCACCAATCACCTTAATCCAAAAAAAAATTTTTTTTTGAGACAGAGTCTTGCTCTGTTGTTCAGGCTGGAGTGCAGTGCATGATCTTAGCTTGCTGCAACCTCCACCTCCCAGGTTCAAGCGATGCACCTGCCTCAGCCTCCCGAGTAGCTGGGATTTCAGGTGCGTGCCACCAGGCCTGGCTAATTTTTGTATTTTTAGTAGAGACGTGGTTTCACCATGTTGGCCAGGCTTTTTGAGATTGTAAACAAAATAAACCAACTGAACAAAACCATGCTGAAATACCTATGAGGTGTTCAGTCGTTACGGTCATCTTTGAGGTATACACACATGACATTAGATGACACAGAGGAGAGGGGCTTCTGTTGCAGAACCACACTCATCAGGCTAGGGAATGTAGGCGACACCACAGCACCTCTCCGGAGAACCAAACACCAAGGGCTGAGCTGTGTCTACTTTTCAGGATCAACTTGGCCTTTAAGACGTCAATCTTCTCACCCATGAAGAAGGAGGGAAAGCCATCTTTGACGTTCCCAGGAAGCAGACCAATGAGTCCAGAACAGCAGCTCGATGTCATGTTACAGCAGGAGATGGAAATGGAAAGTAAAGAAAAGAAGCCCTCTGAATCGGACCTGGAGGTACGTTCTTGTTGCCCCCTTTCCCTCAGTTTGCTGAAGATTGCTCTCGGCATCTCGGTGATTCTAAATTCAGGGAGAACGGCAGAATCACCTGGGAAATGTTTGAAAAACACCAAAGTCTAGACGCAAGACAGGCCACTGGAGAGGGCACATGTTTGTGTGCTTCTGCGAGTGAGAGAGAAAGAGAGTGTGTGTGCATGTTCTCTGCCCTAGTAAGTGATGGAAATTGATACCTTGGGTCCTTTTAGGATATAAGTTGCAAAAATGGTGGCCCATAGGCTAGGAGTGCCAGACTTTGCAAGACAAAAAATGGAACACGTAGTTAAATTCAAATTTTAGGTAATGAATAACTTTTTAGTATAAGTATATCCCAAAGCATCCCATATTTTATCTGGGATCTCTATCATAGGCTGAATTTGGCCTGTAGATGTGTTTTAAGAATGAGGTGGCTGGGCATGGTGGCTTATACCTGTAATCCCAGCACTTTGGGAGACCAAGGCAGGTGGATCACTTGAGGTCAGGAGTTCAAAACCAGCCCGGCCAACATACTGAAACCCCGTCTCTACTAAAAATGAAATAATAATAATAATAATAATAATAATAATAATAAAAAGCCAGGCATGGTGGCAGGCACTATAATTTCAGCTACTTAGGAGGCTGAGGCAGGAGAATCGTTTGAACCTGGGAGGTGGAGGTTGCAGTAAGCCAAGATTGAGCCACTGCACTCCAGCCTGGGCAACAGAG